CTGCATACTCTTGATGAGACAACTGAGGTGGCTGGGTCATGGGAGCGGTATGGATTCGAAGAGGATACCGAAACAACTATTATGCGGTCAGCTGAGTATTGGGAAGCGGTATGTGGGGAAACTAAAGTTACGTTACCAGAACATGATCAAAGTGAGCCTCACATGTTCTAATCTTGATTGCAGGTCATGGGAATCGAAAGCGGTTGATCGGGGTGCGTAGCGCAATCTGATCACGAAGGAAGTTGCCGAAGTGAGGGAGAAAGACCTCATGAATACAGAGAAGGAGCTGCAAGTGCGGAAGCGGCAAGCACCGATGGGTTGTAATCCATCCACATCGAGTGCATGGTGCTGTAGCACATGCGGTCGCAAGTGCCTGAGTCAGGCAGGCCACTACCGAATCGACGACAGGTACTGCAGCCAACGTAGGCGGATCCGGCGCAGCGCTTGTAGGTACGCTGCATTCGATTTACTAACCGCGTGCTTGCATGCTAAGTCCATTTATTTCAGGAGGCGTGTTTTCAATTTTGTCCTAATGATTTTCGATCTCATATTATTGTCTATCTGCACTATCCTCTGTAATCTGGAACACATTGCTGAACGTAATTGTAGTTAATTTCGATAAGATTTTCACCTTTGTGGCCTTAAAATATGCTTTTTGACCTCTTGAAGTTATCGCGGATTGGTTCGTAATCATATTTTATGCGCTCTTGTAGTAAAGAGTTTTGTCAACATTTCTGCATGCATTATATGATTTATTTTATTTCATCTTGAAGTTTCAAGTGTTTGACTGTCGCTTGATATCCCCCGTGTGGCTGCGCTTGATGTGCATGTTGACAACGTGCCTACCTGTCTATTACCCACTACCTCGTCCATACTGGCTCCAGGAGACAGTTGGTCATTGCTGGAGCGGGCGGGGTACACGGTCCTTGTGGCCGTGCTTAGCTCGAACTGTGGTTCCATGCACTCAGTGTGAAGCAGACTACGGTCCAACCACTGCCTTGTGTGTGCTTGATTCCCAAATACAGCGTGCTTGTGTTTGCCTGTGAAGGAGTGTGGGCCGCCTCCGTTGATGAAACGTGGCTCCTATCCACATGCCTCCCGGTCTTATTCCTTCGGGTTTACACTGGATATGAGGTGTGCGGTTAATGAGCTGTGGGTGGTGCAGCGCAAGCCACACATAGTCCCTCTGCATGCGCAGGCGTCTTTTGGCTGCCCACAGAGAGGCAAATCCGAAACGGGATGCGACCGACAATATATGATGCTTCTTCACCGCAGTTGGGCTAAACCAACTTACACTTAAACTAGGTCTTTAAAGCTGGATACATTTCATTCCACTTTATTTGGTTTGTCCTGCCTACTTGAATAAGCTTCCATTAACTGGCCACTTTGTTTACGCTAATTGCGCTTATCTTCGATAACTTTGTTGCGTTTGTAGCATTTTTAAGTAACTTGTGGACATTTTTTACTTATCGGGGATTCGTTGCTAACCAACCCACTTGATACGCTAATATATCGAAGAGTTATGTCACCGTATCTGTATGCATTATTGGATTTATTTTATTTCATTTTGCCGTTTCAAGTGATTGGCGTTGTTTGATATCCCCTGTGTGGCTGCGCATGATTTGCATGTTGACAAGGTGAATACCTGTCTATTACCCACTACTTCGTCCATACTGGCTCCAGTAGACAGTTGGTCGAGGCTGGAGGGGACGGGGTGCACGGTCCTTGTGGCCGTGCTAGGCTTGAAGAGTGGTTCCATGCGCCAAGTGTGGAGCGGACTACGGTCCAGCCACCGCCTTGTGTGCGCTTGATTCCCAAATACAGTGTCGTTGTGTTTGCTGTGAAGGAGTGTGGGCCGCCTCCGTTGATGAAACGTGGTTCCCATCCACATGTCTCCTGTTCTTAGTCCTTCGGATTTACACTGGATATGAGATGTGTGATTGGAGCTGTGGGTGGCGCAGCGCAAACCACCCATGGTCCCTCTGTAGGCAAAGGCGTCCTGTGTCTGGATACGGTGACAGGCAAATCTGTAACCGGATTCCGACAATCAGACATTAAAAGCCAAGCTTGAGATTGGCTTCTTCATGCATCTTTTTCACGTCGTTGGTTGTTCACCGTGGAACCTTTCCCAATCGTTTTCGGAGGATGCAAATAACGCTCGACAGGTAAGGCAATAGGCTGGGATGCGCAAGATGTGACCGAACCAACGGATATGGTATCGGAGTATTACGTTTTGGAGGCAGAGGCTGTTCGCCTCAAGCCCTAGGTCTCGGATTTCCGTGTGGGTCACGTGATGTTGCCACTACACAGGCAATGCTTGGTAGGCAACCACTGTCAATAAATGACAATCGTTTCACGTCCGCCGAGCTCCTAAGCCAGTTCCCATAATCGCTCAAGAGAACAGGCACGGAAGCAATGTACACAATTGAAGACAAAAGGGGCAATGGAGAACCTTCGAAGAATAGCTCTGGTGATGACATACGAAAAGGAAAGACTGCGGTGAGCCTTTACTTCGCCATTTGAATGGCCGCAAAGTCCCTTTAGGATGATTACAAACATTTCGGCATACCTTTTCCCAGTAGACCTATTTATTGAATTAAATGCCGCTTGGATATCCAAGAAAACTACGGTTGTTTGTAATAGGTTGATGCGAAGAAGTTCAAGAAGTTGACGAAGTGTGAATATTTTGTCGATGCAATCTCGGAATGGACGAAAACCAGCATCCGTACGCCGCTTTAGCTAAACGATATCGGACTTCAGTGTCTCCCGGTCTGACGGGTCAATATCTCGGATGGTAGCGAGCCGGGAGCAGCGCGCGTAGACCGAGTTTCCTTATCAATTTATAAGACGGAGCACTTGTTTCACAAGGAACCCCTATTTACCCATTTCGAGGAATCTAACAATCAGACTATGCAAAATTATGACGTCATGGTCAAAGCGAGTCTGAGGGAATGGTATCAGCTGACATCAAGATTATCTATAAGCGCCGGTGTAATGGGGGGTTTTATAATATACTGCTGTTAACTCATTTGAGAAATGTTCCGATACATGGTTTATAAAAATGCTCGTTTGACAAACCAAGCATTATGCCCTATGGTTGCTTGATCAGTAACTGGTCAGTCAAAAGCAAAAATAAAAGTATCTTCATATGCAGACTACCGTGATCATGGAATCCGGTATTCCCCCAGATTCCGCTACTCAAAGAATGCCCAAAACAAAATAGCCCGAGCCAGAAATTTTGTGGCCAACATAAGACATAAAACATATACAGCCCGTGCAAAACGCGAGTTATTCAAAACTCACTCGACCTATCCTTGAGCATTGTAAATTAGTCTATTGTAGGATGCGGAATTTGGATAGATGAGCCAGGTAAATTTTAGAGATCATTCACCAAAAGTTTGTTCAGGGGCACATCCAACCTAAACTATTGTGAACGTGTTCAGTAGCTTCACATTGAGCCCTTCTGGCACCGACGTCAGAAGCAAAACTTCATGCATTTACACAATTTGTCAGACCAGAAAACGTACTCGTAGCAGTCTAATTTATAGGTAAAGCAACATGCTCATCAATGACTCTGGAACAAAAACTACCCGCTACTTGTACTAAGGGTTAGAACAAACATACATTCTAACTATTTCCTTATCAAATGCGACGTCCTGCGGAATAGTCTGCCAACCACAATTAGGGCATGTGAAAACCCTGCATCATTCCACACCAAACTCGATAGTGTCTTTGATCTGGAAGTGGTATTCTGAATGCTATAATCCGACAAGTCACCCGATGAAATATTCCAGGATGGATCAAAAAACAGTTAAGAAGATAAAAATTGTCAACATTTACTCATGCAAGGAAGTGATCATTGCTGTACGTACTGAGTTGTCCCTACTTTCGGAACAGATTCCCGCACTTCAGAGGAAGCTAGGTACATATGTGTACGAAATCTCGACAGAATGCGACACCTCTGGTCGATGGCAGTTGTTCTCTTTTGCATTGTGTTCTTCCCTGTCCGTCATTTAGGTTGACATACTGGAGCGTTAGTGCCCGAAGGACGCAACACTAGTACACCAACTCAGTTTCCAGTAAGGGATGAGCATCTATGCCGCCATGGGACAAAAAGGCTCGTTCGAAAACAGGAGTGGCTGTATATTCTACTGTATGGAGGCAATCAAGGAGCTATCCGTTGTGGAAATTTTCGCCCTTGCTCACTTGCGAGGTCACACGACTATCTGGCTGCACTTTACTACGGTAAAGCAGTCGCTATTGTCCATGTAGCGAGCATCGACCTCTAAAACGTCTACGATGTATGCAGATCGTGGTAAGCAACGAAGTTGAGAGTTTATTTACCCAGCATGATCATGATATCCGAACTTTCACCCATTCGAATAAAGGTAGGGTGTTGCTTATAGAATTCACCTCTGACCGCTCACGGGATGTAGCTATACGGAGTACGTTTAAACTACAGTTATGATGCCTTTTGTCTGTACACAGGAGCTCCGAATGAGATCCAAAATCGAATTTCACACACACTGAAACAGCTCATAAGAACAGGCCACGTCACCTACTAAGTGGTTCACACCGTACATGGTGCTAGTCACTGACTCAGTATAACTAAAGAAAATGAGTATGCAAGTCTCGACACTGAAACCCGAGTCTGGTGGACGTTGATTTTGTGAAACGCTATTGCCCAGTAGGTGTTTTCCGGAGACATTCCACACATCAAATCCGACGAAGTGTACATTTATGGCGTGAAACTGCCGACTGATTTGTAAGGGTTTACAGAAATTAAAAGATCAAACAAGGAATGGTATTTTAGAGTTGTAAAATGATCAGGCGTCCTCCTTGGTGTGGATGATGAAATCAGTTGTGGTATCTTTCTGGTAAACATAGGCAGATGATACGTGAAAAAGAAAGGAATTATGAAGGTGGATGCGACACGTAGGAGGAATCGAAACTGGTTATTTGCGAAAGTGCAGGGAAATGAAAAAGTGGTGATGGGTTACCTCCAGCAGAAAGGGTAGCTATGATTAATCGTGCTTTGATGAATCAGTCGGCCGCGCTTTTTTAGATGTTGACAGATAAGTTTATCAGCGTCTTTCACGTATATCCCCTTGAAGTCGTCCACTTCATCGGTAAAGCGACCGGAAGCGTCAACCGGACATATGATCGGTGCTCCTTTCCAAATAATCCCATTAGCCGTACACACGCGAAAGTCATCCTAGTAAACAGAAAGTGAATTGATTAAATGGTGAAAAAGGACGGAACGTATCTAGCCAACCGCAAATAGAAGTGTGTGTATTTAAATTTCATAAAATAACCTTAACGACCGTAATGTGGTTTTGGCATGAGTCTCGGTCTAACCTTGGTCTTATATGAAAATTTCAACTGATGAGTCGAAGAAAAGAACCAACCCTTAAGGAATTGCTCCTCATCCCTCAGAGTACGCAAACATGAAGTAAATCAGACGAGTTAAAACAAATGCGCAGAAACATCAATATCTGGGGTGAAGGCTGACTACCGTCGAGGAAAAATCTATGCGACCTGTTCAGTGCAATACAGCTAAACAACTATGATGCGGACTCCAAAATGCAGTGGGTAAAATTACCACGATTCAAATAAAAAAGAAATAATAGCAGTAGGAAAAGGGGGTTGAGCACAAATGGGGCACAAAGAAAAAAGGAGCAACAAGTATAAAAGTTAACAGCTAGATGCAATAAACGGAATCCAGGAACACCACAAATGCGCGACTGCACCAGGTCTGATAGAGGCTGTAAACACTAGAATGGAGCACCCAGGGGTCCTCATCAACGAAGACGGTCCGCGCCAGTATGAGCGAGTCTATCAACCAATTTATTTATGCCTATAAGCCACGTCATCGACTGATTGCATCGCGGTTTCGCCCAACCTGATGCAGGTGCGACACGCCGAGAAACTCGGTCAACGGGTATACTGAGGCATGATGTAGCCAACACAAACGGCTCAACAGAGATCAGAAAGCTTCTTGCCATAAACAAAGGCACAGTTCCCATCAGACGTGAGCAAAACACCGTAAGCACCGGTGATCAAACACGACCAAGCGTTTAATGTCGTTACGCGACGCACATACCGAAGAATGCGGCAGTACACATCAGTCAGTTCAGTAGTGTTAGCAGAAGGAGAGCTAGGTTGTTCGCATACTCAATGTTTGTCAGTTAGTCCCGTGACAGAACCTCCACCCCAAAACAGTCTGAAAAAAAACGAGTAATTCATGATCATTCCGATTACAAAGGCGAAGAGGAAAGGAGATAAAGGAAAACATTGGTGAACTGGGGGATATAGGGGAGACAGCTTACCACAGCTTACCACGACATCGGAAGTCAGGGTAGAAAGTCTAGAATGAAAGGAATTTCCAATAACTCTGTTCGCAGATAGGCAGTGCCACTAGATGGTCTAATCAACGGAGTCGAAGGCGACACTCAGGTCAAGGTCCTCTGTACGTGTGCCTCTGCTCTAACACTTGACAAAGAGTAAATATGTGATTGATGCAACCGCAAGCACGATCGTGAATCGGTTCGCATGTGGACCAGTTAGTCACCGAAAAACAATATCCGTGAGAGGATTGGAAACAATGGAAGGAGCGCTGATGCCTCAATGGTTTCCGCACAAAGTCCGTTGACCTTTCTGGATGCGCACAACAGATGACAGTCGCCAGTCTAAAGGCAGCTCCTCAGTGTCTCCAATCGTTGGGCAAACGTGAGCATTTTCCTCTGTCTGTCGATGGAATGAGCAAGGTGTCAAACGCATAGAGTCGGGTTGCACGTATTGCGCACTGAAAATTTTATTCTGCGGGTTGAGGGTGATGTCACGTCGACGCAAAAGTTCCTCGACCCGCTATGGGTTTGCGAACTTATGTTCTATTAAACGCGATGAAATTGCCGTACAGGTAGTTGAAATTTTGAAAGACTCCTGGTTGAATGCCATTGAGAATCAGTACAACGGTTAATCCTTGTCAATCCTGGATGGGACCACTGCGTTTTGGTGCAAACCACGAGTCAAACTGAGCGGCAGTCAATGCCGATTTGTCCGACGCAGTTTGTGAACCACCAGAGCTCAGAGCAATATCTTCGGCGCACTATTGATCGAAAAGTCAATCAACTGAAAAATACTCCTGTGAACGCAGTCTACAGGACTTCGTCAGGAGACTGGTTAAAAAGGAAAGGCGATAATGGGCATTACACAATGCGCTAGAGAAAATGATGGGAGGTGAGATTTTGCTTTAAGATCTTGCTTTGTCCAACCTTTGAGCATAAAGTGCACTCTTGATGTGTATTTATTCCGCTGGCAAAACTTTCTTATTCAGCTTGACCCAAAGAGACCATCGATTTACCGGATCGAAAGCGGCTTGATGTCGAAGAACACAACCGGAACTAGTCGTTAATTTAAGTGTGCGTGCTCTAACAGACGATGTAAAGTGAAGATGTGGATAACACAACCTAGATTTCAAGGAAGCCAAGTTTGTTTTCAATGAATCAGACCTTTCCGCGCGCTAGTCCGTCAATGAAGAAGTATAGGTAGTTGACTAGTGGGTGATGGAGATCAGACTGATTATCATGTCGGGTTCCGAAACTGAGCAAGCCCTTCCATCAAAAACTGGGACTAGGACAGGTTGAATCCAATTATGCGAGACCATTTCCTGTTCACAGTTTCATTAAAAAATCGTGCATAACTTATATAAGAATAGGCCTACCGCATATGAAGAGGGCCGGAGCAAGTGCATCTGGTCTATGGCATTATTTAAGTTCAGCAGTCCCACCTCGCATTCGATTTCCTAGGAGAGAGGACAGTTCAAAATGGACAGCGAACAGAAAGGGCAGCCACTGGTCACCAAGGAAGCGCATTTTCATCATCAACAGCAGTACATCAGCTATTTGAACTGATATTTCGCCACCGTACAACCATGGTGACCTATGGGACAAATTATAACAGGAGAGAAGGAAGGGGGACTTGGCGGAAAACCTTAATGCCCAAAACAAACGTTCAGGGTCAAGGTGCCTACACCTTGTGCCAACAACATACTGTCACAGTTGGCTTTCGTGAAAAGATTAGGCAGCATCAGCAAGAGAGCTTCCTTGCGGCTTTCGTAACCAGCAATTACCGCGCAGATAGCTCAGCACCAAAAACACTATAAACAGTCAGTCCGACTAGGAGACGATAACAGATACACCACTGGTACCAAATGCCAGTCATGTCCTGTAATGTCTCGAGCCAAGCACAAGGCTAGTCACGCGGACTCCAGTCTGGAAAGCGAAATGGACCAATGGCACCGAGTTTGGTCGTTAATGACTTCATTTCTCGCTGCCAATATAACTTTTGTACAACTCGATTCTTGCGCTATTCTACCGCTGGAAAACAAAACAAGGCTTTCCTGGGTATACGGTGACCAGGCACAAGTAGTACGTGCCCAAGGGAATACAACTTGTTCAGTACCATAAGTTGTTCTAAGGAAATAGCATGATTATCACTGCCTAGTACTCGACTACGCACATCATCGCTGCGGACAGACTGATGGCATCCGACACCAGGATTGCTTCGTAGAAGACAATGATCAAAGAATTGGAGGCACTTCAGATAAAAGGGGCCCATACAGTAAGACGACCCTCACTGCGGCCTTGGAAACACGATATGTCAAACCGAAGGAAACCAATTACAGACACCACAGATGTCGCTGATTCAAGAAGGCAGTTTTTTAATACTTGAACTGACTCCGGTGATTATGCGCCAAGTGTTGCTGATGCAGCTGCCAAGGTAAGGGAAGTGATCAACGGGACATCAACTGGCTGGTGGTCCTGTAAAACACTTCGCACTTTGAAAGTGTGAAGGGCATGCCAAATGATGGGATGACTCTAGAGAGGTTGTTAAGGATTGACTGGACAGCCCCAACATTGTTTAAAAGTAAGACAATATCGTTCGTATAATCAAGATCAAATAGCTTCTCACCAGGCAGTACCTCAATGTATGCAACTTGATATTCCGCAAGGCAAAATTATATATGATGGATTCCACGACAAAGTCAAACAAAAGTGAAAAAAATCGTGCAACCCTGACGAATACATGTGGTTTGGAAGATATCTGACAAGTCACCATAGACCCCGACGCTCGACAGAATTGGATGGCGCTAAAGATAGGTGTGATCTAACGGGAGAAAAGTAACTTAAGAACGAAGGAATACCAACGCAATACGCCACCTGCATGTGTGATGTTGAGTGAGCGCTTGATAGCATAAATATATGGTTGATGCGGCCGTTATTCGGATGCCGTTATTCGATTGCAATACGTCGCAAAGAAACTTTGTTAACGCCGATGATGGACAAATGTGAAAACGCTCGTGTGCAGTTAAAGCACCTATTTCGTCACCCTGTGATATTGGTGAAAAACAGCCACCGAAACCGGGAAAAACGGGGTGAAACATTTTGTCCATTTGTAAAACACTTTGTAAGCTAATCGAATTATCGCACGGTATTTATCCCGGACATACTAGGCCGGCAAGACTATCAGGAATGAAGGGGGTGAAGACCACACCAAGAGACTCGTAACACGGCTATATAAACAAAATCGTTAGGATTAAGGAAAACCGTTTGTTCAAATGTGTCATATAATCCAAAAAGTAAAGGTTTCTATATTACGTTTACCATAGGAACACTGGATCTCTATAGACGAGTAATCAGAATACATTCGAAAACTGGATGGAGGACAGGGCGATCGAGTAGCTATGAGTCGATGCAGAACAGCTGGGAAATAAGTCAAATAGCGTGGCACTTGGTGCAGCAGTAACGTGAAACGGCATACCGTTTAGTTAATGGAAAGAGCAAACTTCAGTGGCACCATGACAGACGGGTAAAACTAAGAGGCACATCCGTAGTGAGGCTGATATTTACTCTAACTGTCGAGTTACAAGGGAAATAAGAGGATCGAAGATGTAGATGCACATACAATTAATGGTTGCAGATCAGTTAAACAAAAAACTGCGGACTCACTTCACCAAAGTAAGGCGCCTGATGGACTACGCCGGTGCCGGTGTCTTCTGTGACGTACGTATCACAAAGAACGCGAAAGGCTCCACGCTCTTGTTTAAGCTGGAAGCATAAAACACGTAAAAAAGCTGTCCCAAATACAAAAATGGTTCAAAAATGCAAAAACGGCTTTGGAACAACTGTAACTCACGTTGGAAAAATAACCGAAAATAGGTTGATATTGGGCATTTTCAAGCTGTTTCCCGGGGAAGCTGCGAAGCGAGAGAGAGAGAAAAAGAAGAGCTGCAATTACTTATAAGCAATTTCGATAACATTTGAGCCGCAACACAGAAACCTGATGCGAATAGTGTTCAAATAGAAGAATCAAAAGTTGTTGCATTTAACTCGTTCCGGCCAAACGAACGGATAGAAAAACCACACAAGCCATAGTAGATAAAAAATGGAAGTTATTGATCACCCTAGACAGGTTCAGTAGATATTGTCAACCGAACGACCAGGCAAAAAACCGAAGTGCAGGAACAGAAGAGACTAAATGTGATCAGTGTATTCGCTGCAAACTGCCAAACTTAGAAAAAAGTGATGCGGGTGAACAAAGAAGCATGTACTAAATTCTAGTAGAATTATACTCAAAATCATTCTGGACGGCGAATTTGGCTTTTTCAAATGCGTCGATAATGTGCGCCCCACTCGCAATACCACGAAGCTAGAACCAGCAATCCTGCGCTTAGAGACATCGGCTTTGAGCGATGGAAAGCGACAAGCACCAGACCAAAGTAGGTACATGCCCTGTACTGCGACCCACTTTTGCTGCCCATCGCGTTTCTCCCTTGAAAGAGGAGTGCGGGTTATAAACCTCAATCAAACAGAAAAAATACACACAGCTGGCGCTCACAAAAAGACGAAATGGCTTCTCGTGTTTCCCATGAATATGGCAGCTGTCTAACTGAGTAAGGAAGGAACGGCCAGCGTCGGAGACATTACGATCGTGGAGCAGCGAAGAGGTAAAGCAAAGAAGCGAAAACGGAATGATCCGCTAGACGGAAGCACTTCAAAGGGATGATTAGTTAGTCCCTGGCTTCCGAACTGCGTGTGTTTGTGGAACATGCTAAACGATAGGCAGTTCGATTAGCGGCTCCATCTGCATCGGAGGTTCAAAACGGCATCATAGGCCAACATCGGTTCCATTCTGCTGGAGTTGATTCTGTGGTGCCTTCATAATAGCAGGGAAATTCTTTGCGAAGCATTGACCAACTATGGACAGATATAAGGATATTGTTTCAGTCCACCGTTGCATATCAAGCTTAGTGGTAAAATGAGTAGGAGGAAAGTCCGCGTTAGCCACCGGAATATCAGCAGTGACCTTGCCACTGACATAAATGTTCACACGAGTAGCTGCGAGAAAGAAATCCATAACAGAAGAAAACCGGGAAAGTAAAGGAAAAAGATAAAGCTACGCAGATCACTTGTTTGTTTAGCGGTAGGTGCGAGACCGATGTCACAGGTACCGCAGGTCAACCTACGACCGTGTCACTCGATTTTTAGAGCTAGCATGAAACCCGATCGTCCGTCTCTGCTGCATATACATGAGCCAATGAAGAATGCAGGTAGTTCATTTGATCCACTCCTGTTCTGGAGGCCGAGTCAGGGTAAACAATAAGTTCCCAGGTGCAGCTGGAATAAAACGTGGCGTTTGATGAGGCAACCCATGTTTTCCATTACATTTAAATCAGGCGCAGGTAACGCCATAGGTCGCTTACTTGCGCAGTTTAATGGTGTTGGCTGATGATTGGTGGCATCCGGTTTCGGATTTGCCTGTCACTGTGGCAAGCCACAGGACGCCTGCGCCTACAGAGGGACCATGGGTGGTTTGCGCTGCACCACCCACAGCTCCATCCACACACCCCATATCCAGTGTAAGCCCGAAGAAATATGATCGGAAGGCATGCGGATGGGAACCACGTTTCATCAACGGAGCCGGCCCACACTCCTTCACAGGCAAACACAAGCACACTCTATTTGGGGAATCAAGCACACACAAGGCGGTGGCTGGACCGTAGTCCGCTCCACACGGAGTGCATGGAACCACAGTTCGAGCTAAGCACGGCCACAAGGACCGTGCCCCCCTCACCCTCAAGCAAGGACCAACTATCTCCTGGAGCCAGTATGGACAAGTGAGTAGATAACAGAGAGCTAGGCACCTTGTCATCATGCACATCAAGCGCAGCCACACCGGGGATATCGAGCAACAGCCAATCACTTGAGAGAAAGACAACAAATAAAATCAATCGAATAATGCATAAGGAAACGGTGACATAAATCTTAAATCAATGAGCATATGAAATAAGTTGTTTACAAACGAATCAGAGATAAGTTCAAGAGGACAGAAAGTATACTTCACGGAAATGCAACAAACACCAAACTGTCATCGAAATCAACCACAACGGGCTTAAGCTACCTGTGCAGGTTCATATCAGAGAGCATAGGTAGGCATTTATATCAGAAAGTAAGGCATTAGGAAAAAATTAAAAGACCAACCATCTGAAATAAAGAGAACCAGCATGCAAACAGGCGGTTAGTAAATCGAATGCAGCGTACCTACAAGCGCTGCGCCGGATCCGCCTACGTTCGCTGCAGTACCTGTCGTCGATTCGGTAGTGGTCCCGAGTGGCCTCGCTCATGGCTCACTAGGCCTGCCTGACTCAGGCACTCGCGACCGCATGTGCTACAGCACCATGCACTCGATGTGGATGGATTACAACCCATCGGTGCTTGCCGCTTCCGCACTTGCAGCTCCTTCTCTGTATTCATGAGGTCTTTCTCCCTCACTTCGGCAACTTCCCTCGTGATCAGATCGCGCTACGCACCCCGATCAACCGCCTTCGATTCCCATGACCTGCAAGCTACGACCAAGCCCAAGTGCGGAAGATAGGTAGGAGCAATCAGTTCAAAGGGGGAGGTAATAGAAGGTAAGCGGAGCCAATGTCCAGCACACTGGGTCACGCACGGGCTTACCGCGGAGCACGTGAGTTGTCTGCTGCATGCGAAGGTCACATACACGAGCGGGGGACGACCTTTGACCGTTTTGCCAAATTTGGCAAGCGGGTGCAAACCGATTGGCCAGCAATTACAAGCCGGAATCAAGGGAGGAGAACCATTCTGCCAAATTTGGAAAATCGGTGCGACAGAACCAATCCACATTGGCTGAGAGCCAGACGTTTCCAAAACTAGTATGTTTCGTTCACCCTGCCCTCGTGTAGTATAGACTCCCTTTTTACCGAGCCTTGGTCTTCTGTATCCCGTCAGTTGGTTGGGCGCGTGATTGAGCAATCAGGCGGTCGTAGTCTCGCAGGCGCAGACTAGCAGCAGTGCAGCAGGACGAAGGCAGCTTTACAACAGAAATGACTGTGCGACCAACGTTGCTGATACAGCTGCCAACGTAAGGGAATTGACTAACTACTCGACGTCTTCGCTATCTAGTGTCAAGAGATCATCAAGTGGCTGGTGGTCCTGCAGCCACACTGCATTTTGTAGGTGCGAAACGCCTACCAAATAATGCGACTACTCTAGAGAGGCTGTTCAGGGTTGATCGGGCAGCTCTAACATCGTTCAGCAACAAGACGATATCGTCCGCATAATCAAGCTCAACTAACATTATACCATGCAGCACCTCAACGCCTGCATCTTGAGATTCCTTAAAGGAGCACTCCATGATGGAGTCCACGGCGAGATTGAACAAAAATGAGGAAATCGGAAATGAGGAAATCAGAAAGATATCCGACAGGTCACCATAGACCCTGACTCGACCTATAGTGTTCGTGTATAGAGGACGTAAGATGTTCACCTTTTTCATGGGAGCACTTTTCGGCGCGAGTATTTCGAATAACATGCATCGGTCGACTGAATCGAATGCACTCTTCAAATCGAAGAACACGCTTATTGTCTGTCTGCGATATACGTGGCGCTACTCTAGCCCCTGTCACAATGTGAGTATGTGATCTAGACAGCCGCCGTCCTGGGCGGTAAACTACCAGTCTGTTCGAGGTGCCCAGCCTCTAGCCTTTGACTCACAGTCTGACCCACAAGGGAGTGGGGATATGGAGGTTCGCTTGAGGGACTCCATCCTGAGCATTTAGCTCTAATACCTGACCCACAAGGCAGTGGGGGGCAACGCCAGCTCGGATGTGTGATTGCAGGGACCCGTTGCGATCTGCTTGAGCGCTGCCACACACAGCCTTTGAAGATTTAGAACATTGCACATAGGTTTTACGACCGTATGCTGTACGCAGCTGCCACCACGGCCAGACGCAGGTGAGAATTGATGGGTTTGTACCAATTTGACCAGGGGCTGTCTGACTTGAGGCAGGCGGTAGCAAACCATTGGACACCGGAAGATGTCTTCTCACCGTCAGGAACAATGTGTGGTGCTTGTGCTCTATGCCAATTGAGCTGTGAATTTATAACCCGTAGACCTGTCACCTCCCGTGGCTAGGTTTTAAACGAAGCGGTCCATCGTCCTCTCCTCACATCCGAGGAGTGTGGCATTGTACGACTGCTTTGGCCTGACCCCTAAACATTGACCTGTCTGGTATGAGCACCTCTGAAGACACTTGAAAATTGCCACCCAACATAGCTCTATGGGCCACTGGGATACTCAAATCATCGCAGCACGCTAAGGTCCAGTCTCGTTGCCACCTGCAACTTATGGCAACTTGTTTTCTTTGGGTCCATCGCTGGTTTGCTATAGGTAGACGCCAAATGGCACTTCGGTACCCAGTGTGTTTGAAAGTGGTACTGCTAAGATACAGCTGGTGCTCCGCACACAGCGGTAAAAGACGCTCGTCGTTGTCCGTCCGTTCAAAATTATGCCCATACTTACCACCTAGCAAAGCTTCTGTAGAGCCCAGCCGAACTACTTGCGCATTCATATCCCGTGCAAGGACTATGATATCAGAACTGGTAGCACCGCGTATTTGCTTGTTCAGTTTGTGGTAGAATGTATCCTTGGCAGAATCAGAAATGCGTTTAGTCGGAGCATCACCTTGTATATATATATATATGTATATATATATATATATATATATATATATATATATATATTTATATATTTATATACTTCATATCGTAATTTAGCGAAGAGTTATGCCACCGTATCTGTATGTATTATTGGATTTATTTTATTTCAGCTTGTCATTTAAAGTAAATGGTTGTTGCTTGATATCCCCGGTGTGGCTGCGCTTGATGTGCATGTTGACAAGATGCCTACCTGTCTATTACCCACTACCTCGTTCATACTGGCTCTAGGAGACAGTTGGTTGTTGCTGGAGGGGACGGGATGCACAGTCCTTGAGGCCGTGCTAGGCTCAAAGAGCGGTTCCATGCACTCAGTGTGGAGTGGACTACGGTCCAGCCACCGCCTTGTGTGCGCTTGATTCCCCAAATACAGCGTGCTTGTGTTTGCCTGTGAAGGAGTGTGGGCCGGCTCCGTTGATGGAACGTGGCTCCCATCCACATGTCTGACGGTCTTATTCATTAGGGTTTACACTGGATGTGGGATGTGTGGATGGAGCTGTGGGTGGAGCAGCCCAAGCCACCCATGGTCCCTCTGTAGGCGCAGGCGTCCTGTGTCTTGGCATAGTGACAGGCAAATCGGAAATCGGATGCCGCCAACCGTGTATGTATGTGTGCCCCAACCATATATATGCATGCTTGGCGGCATCCGGTTTCGTATTCGCCTGTCACTGTCGCCTCTACGGGGCAGCCATAGGACGCCTACAGAGAGACCATTGATACCTAGCGCTGCATCACTCACAGCTCCATCCACACACCCCCCATCCAGTGTAAACCCTAATGAATAAGACCGTCAGACATGTGGATGAGAGCCACGTTTCCTCAACGGAGCCGGCCCACACTGCTTCACAGGCAAACACAAGCACACTGTATTTGGGGAATCAAGCGCACACAAGGCGGTGGCTGGACCGTAGTCCGCTCCACACTGAGTGCATGGAACCGCTCTTTGAGCCTAGCACGGCCACAAGAACCCTGCACCCCGTCCGCTCAAGCAACGACCAACTGTCACCTGGAGCCAGTATGGACGATGTATTGGGTAATAGACAGGTAGGCACCTTGTCAACATACACATCAAGCGCAGCCACACCGGGGATATCAAACAACAGCCATTCACTTTAAACGACAAGCTGAAATAAAATAAATCCAATAATACATACAGATACGGTGGCATAACTCTTCGCTAAATTACCTTATGAAGTAATGTGGTTAGCAACAAATCCGTGATAAGTAAGAAATGTCCACAAGTTACTTAAAATGCTACAAATGCAACAAAATTACCGAAGATTAGCGCAATTAGTGTAAGCAACGTGGCCAGTTAATAGAACATTATTCAGGGAGGCAGAACAAACCAAATAAAGCGGAATGAAATTTATCCAGCTTAAAAATACCTAGTTTAAGTGTAAGTTGGTTTGATATATATATATATATATATATATATATATATATATATATATATATATATATATATATAGACGCCTGATTCCGGCATTTGCGACTACATGTGCTAAAGCACCTCGCGCTCAACGTAGATGGAGTATACCCCACCGGCGGCTCCGGCTTCCACACTAGCTGTTTCTTGTCTGCATGCACGAAGGCTTTCTCTTGCAACTCGGCAACTGCCTTCTTGATCAGGTTGCGCGATGCACCCCGATCAACCGCGTTCGATTCCCGTGACCTGAAATCAACGTTAGAATGTGATAGGCTCACTTTGATCAGGTGCTAGTAACGAAGCTTCGGTTTCCCCACATGCCTCTTCCCTGCCCGCAGTTGGATATTTTGCAGCTTATTCGATTTCTGCGTCGAATCCACACAACACACATGACTGAGCCACCTCAATTGCCTCCGCATAAGTATGCAGTCCATTGCATACAACTCACTTCGGCGCAACACCTCCGTGTCTAACTCTCGCATTATCCGATGAACAGAATCCGTCGCAAACATTGTTGAAGAAACCGCTCGAGATATCTTACATCTCGCTGGTACATCGTCCACGTTTCGCTGCCGTATAAAAGAACGGACAGCACCATGGATTTGTTCACCATCAACTTCGTGCTGACTGTAAGCTTGTGGTTGTTCCATACACGGTACTCTAGTTTGCTGAATGGCGCCGCTGCCTTCGATACGCGGATACGCAGCTCACTGTGTATCCTCTGGTCAGTCGAGACTACTCTGCCACGGTTGCAGAAACAGGAGGTGGTTTCCAACACTTCATCACCAATGTTGATTCGCGGCAATTTGCCGGTTGCATTTCTCGTGATGGCTGAGACAGACAGTTTTCCTTGTGTTGGTGGTGAGTCCGTGTTTGGCCACTATGGAAGCCAGAGCACTAGTCGTGTGCTGCAACTCATCCGCGCTGTGTGCAAACAACGCAGTCTTCAGCAAATCGAATCATACGGCTAGTTGTCTCACAGACTAGGGTTCTCACACCGAAACGACGGATGTTCAGCAACGCGTCATCAATATGGTGATCCAAACGAATACCGTAAGCACAAGCCGCGACAAACGCACTGGGCATCATGGCCTAAAGAAAGATATTATACACAGCAAAAGCTGAGACAGAGTCTTGCTTCACACCAGAGACAACTGCAAAGTCATCCGAGGTCTCTCCACTCAATTACACCCTCGTCCGCATACCACTGTTCAGACATTTAAGTAAACTTACATATTTACTCTCGTAGCCAAACTTACCCAATACCAGCCACAATGCCTCGTGGTTCAGCGTATCAAATTCTTTGATGAAATCAACACACAGCGAGTACAACGGCTGGTGCCGTTCTCTGCACTTCTCCTGCAACTGACGAGCCGCAAACACCATATCTATAGTGCTGCGACCCGAACGGAATCCGCATTGCTCTTCGCCACGTTAGGTTGCACATCCTGACTCACGCGGCGGTTGAGCAGCATTCGGGCAATCACCTTGCCCACACAATTCATTGAGTTGATGCTACGATCATTCGTGCAACATTGCTTGCTCCCTTTACCCTTGTACAGTGGTATCACAAGGGCATCCTTCAACTCATTAGGCACCTCTTCCCTATTCCACACGCCTTGCACCAAGTGGTGCATCGCAGTCACCGACGCGGGTCCGCCGTGTTTCAATACTTCAGGCGGGATCCCGTCGGCACCGGCATACTTGCCGTTTCGCAGCTGAGCAAGTGTTCTCTGCGTCTCATCCAGTGTCGGTGTGTCCGCTAAACTCGTACTGCTTCAGGTCGTGCAATGCAGTCGATCTCTGACCATCAAGATGATTTGGCGAGGTGCGCATTATTTCTGCAGTCTGAGTGCTGGTAGCGCATTAACTACCTCGATTAGCGTTCTCGGTTGCTGCAACCTAGGTCCATACACCGTCTACAAGGTGTGAAAGTATTCCTTGTGTTGGTGGCGTTCTGCGTAGCACTCCATCTGCTTTGCCTCCTCATTGTTCCATGCATTTTTAATTCGACGGATCTCTCGACTCATTTGTCGTCCAATTTTGCGAAACTTACTGTGATTCCCTACGTCACTAGGGTCTGCCATATGTGCAACAAATGCTGCATCCTTTTCAAACATTAATGCGCCCATCGTCGCATTTTTTTCATCAATCCAACCGGGCCGCTTACAGTTTGCGCTCCCGATGGTCTCCGTATCACGGAGGATAGCTGAGTGTTTAACTAATCTCGCGTGTGATCAGGATAGCTCATGCTCGGACCGTACTTGCAACTAACATAGGCGGACTTACCTCTTCCGAGTCGTACGCGAACAGTCAACTGTCGCGCGTTGAGGCCAGTTGGTTCACCCACGAGCTGGCTATGTAGGCGATCAGATATTGCAAATCCGACCCCATGTTCATGTGGTGCTGATGTGGCGTTGCCCACATTGTAGAACGTGTAGCCAGCATCTGCTTCGTGCAACTTGCCTTGCTTAGCGAGCCGTATTTCATTGATCGCTGCAATATCGATGTTTTAGCGCGCCAGTTCCATCGCGACCAGTGCAGTGCGTCGCTCGGGGCGTTCACTGGAGTTCCGGTCCAGTAGTGTGCGCACGTTCCAGCATCCGATGCTGAGTGCTTTGCGCGAGGGCATTCGATTGCATTGGTGGGCAACCACATGCGAGGTGGCGGTTATGCTTTGGAGGTTTGCTTGAGGGACACCGCCCGGAGCGTTTCACTTAATAGCCTGACCCACAGCGCAGTGGATGTTTTGGGGGTTTGCTTTAGGGACTTCGCCCGGAGCCTTTGGCTTAATAGCCTGACCCGCAAGTCAGTGGCGGAGCAGATCCAACTCGGGAATGTGATTGCAGAAACAAAGTGGGATTCGCTTGAGGTCCATCACACGCAGCCTTTAAGGTATTAGAGCACTTCATATTTGTCTTACGACTACGGCCAGACGCAAAAGGGTTTTGGTTTGTTCGCACTAATTTCATCATGGTCTGCCTGGTTTGAGGCGGGCAGTAGCAAACCATTAAACACCCGGAGGTCCCCTCCCACCGTCAGAGACAATGCGTGGCGCTCGTGCTCTACGCCAATCGAGCGATGATCTTTTAGCCCGTGGACCGGTTGTCTACCATGGCTAGCTTTTACGGGAAGAGGGTCAAGGACCACTTCCTGACCTCCGAAGAGAATGGCGTTGGAATTGAAATAATGGCAGGGCGCCCACCATTGACAGAACGACTCGGGTTTTCATTCAAAGCCTTTGATGAATGTACACCCGAAGGGCAGAGCGTCTAACACGTGGTCAGTTCACTGACTTATGCTGATTGATGTCCTGGCTCTTAGCTAAGAGAAGGGAGTAACCCAACTCCCACCAAGTGGTCGCCACGAGGACGCGTCCAGGACATGAGCCAATGGCACGACAGTTGCAGTAATGGGTTGATCATCTGTCAGGGCCTAGCCACCTCAAGTGTCAACGTACCATAGTCTCTCGCGCCATATATATATATATATATATATATATATATATATATATATATGGTTGGCGGCATTCGGTTTCCGATTTGCCTGTCACTGTGGCCAGCCACAGGACCCTTGCGCCTACAGAGGGACCATGGGTGGCTTGGGCTGCTCCACCCACAGCTCCATCCACACACCCCACATCCAGTGTAAACCCTAATGAATAAGACCGTCAGACATGTGGATGGGAGCCACGTTCCATCAACGGAGCCGGCCCACACTCCTTCACAGGCAAACACAAGCACGCTGTATTTGGGAATCAAGCGCACACAAGGCGGTGGCTGGACCGTAGTCCACTCCACACTGAGTGCATGGAACCGCTCTTTGATCCTAACACGGCCACAAGAACTGTGCACTCCGTCCCCTCCAGCAATGACCAACTGTCTCCTGGAGCCAGTATGGACGATGTAGTGGGTAATAGACAGGTAGGCATCTTGTCAACATGCACATCAAGCGCAGCCACGCTGGGGATATCAAGCAACAGTCAATCACTTGAGAGGTAGCTAACAAAGAAAACAAATCGAGGTATGCATAAGTAAACGTGACAAAAATCTTAAAGTAATGAGCATATGAAATAAGTTGTTAACAAAGGGTCCGAGATAATTTCAGGGGGTCAGAAAGTATATTTTACGGAAATGACAGAAACGCGAAAATATTATCGAAATTAACTACAATTGGCTGAAGCGAATTGTTTAGGTTTATAGAAGAGCGTACAGGTGGACATTTATTTGAGAAAGAAAAGCATTAGGACAAAATTGGAAACCCACCACCTGAAATAAAGAGACTTAGCATGCAAGCACAGGCATCACAGGCCGATGTTTTCTGTTCCACCATGGGCCAGGCTGTACGAATCATAGCTGATTAGCTATTGTTATTATTATTATTATTATTATTTCTTTCACTTCGTATCTTCATCTGGCAGAACGAACTATGATTCCGCCGCCAATAGAATACTTGCATTTTTCTTTTCAGGCTCAGTTGGTTCCCCAGGACCCCATCGTGATTCTCATTTCCACGAATTCAGCCGTGCTTCAGCGAATCGCCTCCCCTACTAGCAGCCTGTTGGATCTGATTCAGAACACTATTAAGCAACCTATGACTGTGACTTCCGCTGGTTGCTGGCCAAGCGGTGACGAAGAACTGCTTTCTCTTGGGCGTTCTTGTCTGTCCACCGGTTGGGATTTGGGATCCGAGATTATTCGGGAGGCATCCTCAGTGAGTTCCTCGAATAGAGTGGTTATTTTCTACCCTATTTCCATCTTTGAGCTTATATTCTTATGTATATATAATTGTTAGGCGTGAACCTGTCCTATTACTCTGTTATCGGGGTTTATCAACCAAATTGTCACCTTGAACCCACTTTGCACGCGCCGCCCCCTTTTCTCTCTTACATCTATTATTCTTAAAGCCAATTCCTTTTTGCTGATGTTAGCGTGATCGCACCGTGTTCTGACGTCGAAATCTGCGCCATCACCTGGGATGGTTTCATCACTTAATTGCGCCATTGCAGCCCTGGGGATAGTCAGGCTCTTTTGGCGCCACCCCGCCCATAATCTTCTTTTTCATTCTCTTTAACACTTCTGCCATAACAGCTCGTTCACCAGTTTTTGGTAGTGCTTATGTCGAGTATCTCCGCAAATAGACAGAGACCAGGCAGCGATTTGGACCAATTGCTTATTCGCTGTGCGCAATATGTTAAAACGACTTCCTGCTTTCATTCGTTCTCTTAGATTATTTTTGTTTCTTGTCTTGTGCCATCAACCCACATTCTTGCGCACCTTGTCACCTTTCGCCCTTATTTGACTTCATCACTTCTTTCTGTAATTTCCGTTTAATTCACGTTAGCTCAAACCAACTCAGCTGGACTTCCACCACGCGGTTATTGTTTACCCTGGTTGTTCTACAATTGCACTAGTTGTGCCTTGTTACAATCAATACGCTCCAACACATTTTGTTTTCCTGGTCCATCATACGCCGTCACATCTCCCCGTTTCTCTTGCTCCACTTCCGTTGTCTATCCCATTATCTATCAACTTACGACCATACTCTGCCATCAAATATCGTTTCGATTTGCGGCTTCTGGTCTTCCCCTTTTACCACTTTGCTCAGCTGCGTCGCAGATGCACCGAATTTTATCAAGCTATTATATATAGTTATTCTTCGGCGTCCTTACTTGGGGCGATGTCCCTGAAACTGATGACAACGAGCGCGCTGCTCTGGAGGGGTAATAGATACATTATAGTCATTTGCATAGGCTAACGGAACGAATGCATAAAAATAGAGCAAGCGTGCAAGCGATTTTAAAGAGAAAAGGAATCAAAGATTCAATTAAAGTAATATGGCCACCCGTGGAACCGTCTCTTGGACACCTGTTTTCATTCAAACTAGTCCCTCTTAGGTTTTCATATGCACTTCCACGGTCTTCTGGTAATGTGCCTGTATGGCTTGAAAGCATGCGATCCATCACCGCCTTGTTTCATTTCTCAGGCGAATTTTATATGCGATTAGGGTGGACACTTCAGCCCAATCTTGCCACGTTCCGTTGTGGTCTTAAATCCTTGATCATCACCGCTGTAACTCATTTTTGGCCATTTTTATGTAGTTAGGTTGGTTATTTCTTCTATTCGGACCGTTTATTTCCTATAACTATAGCACTGTTGTGACGCCAGTGGATTTGTGACAGTTCGCCTTGCGTAGGTACACTATTTACTTCGAAGCTTCACTGCGTAACCTCAGGAGATACTTCGATTCGTTGTCAAGGTAAAATAGAATATACAATAATACAAATAATTATGTAATTCGTGATACTACTAGACATGATCGATTGGAGGAGTTCGTTCAATCACTACACGTATTATACTCCGTGATGCACCATAAAATACTTGGCGTTCACATATGTAACCATCAATACAGCGGCTATGAACAGCATGTGTATAGGCCAGGGAGAGAGGGATGAGTTCCTATTTTTGTCATGTGAGAAAAGGAATGATTTCAGTGTTTTATTCAATCTGAATGGCAAAGCTTAGGAGGGATAGTTACTGGAACGCATGTGGGTGATTGAGCAATACGGAGTGACGCATGAAAAAGGGAGCGGAATATGGATGCTTAGATCTTATGAAGTCTGCATTCACTTACCTATTCATCCGCGCAATTAAGGAAAAACAACTGTTTGATCTTTCTTATAGTTATCAGTTGTTTAATTGCTTACTAAATGGAAGCTGAACTTCTGATGACTTTGGGCAATTTATTACATAGCAGTAGATATTTAAGTGTAATGAAGTCGCATCGGAGTTGCGTGCCATAGTGGCCTACTTCTATTACATAATCTTTGTTTTTCAGATTATGTTATGATGGTTCTTGGAATTAATGTTCGTAAAAATTTATTTGTCTTTCTATGAACACTTTTTCAAGCAGACATAAAATTACTTTCAACCTTTCAAACCACAGCGGCTCGAAAGTTAGCTGGTTAAATCTTCAGAAGACGGGGGATGTACAACCCTCAAGTCTCTTTGTAACAGATCGTTGAGTTACTTACAAAATCGTGGAACCGATCCGGAAATCATGTATTCAGGGAAGCTTGGAAGCGATCGGTTGGTGTAGTTTTTGGGCAGCGTTTCGCTTTTGCCACAACTTCCTCTGGCCATATGAATCACTATGCAATTCTAGCGGCAAGCAGGGACGATAAACGAAAAGTCCGAGACACTTCGTCCACTCCAACAACAACCAACTGTCTCTTTGCTATAGTATAGACGAAGTGGCGGATGATAGACAGGTAGACACCTTGTCAACATTCACATCAAGCCCAGCCAAACAGGAGATATTAATCAACAACCAACCCCTGAAATATAAGAAGCTCAACTTGCAGGCATACGTACAGACCAACTGCAACGCTGATGCAGCACACATACCACATCAACCATCTTATTAGTCTGGAATAGTAAATCGAATGGATGCGGTCGTAGCACACCTACCAGTCGTTGCGTTGATTGTGCTTAGCTAATCGACTCGTCGTCTTTTTATGCTGCCCCACGTAGCGAAGCTGATGGCTTACCAGGTCCGCTTGGCTCGTGCATTCGCGACCGCATGTGCTACAGCACTATGCACGTGATGTCGACGGTCTAGACTCCATCGGGGGCTGTCGCTTCCGTAGCCAGCGTTTCTCCTTCGCATGCAGTAACGTTTTCTCCTGTCTGAGCAACCGCTCTCTTGATTAGCTCACACTGTTGGCGCCGATCAACGGCAATCGCTTTTCAACATCTGAAATCAACATTAGTTCGTGATAAACTCATCTTGATCATTTCCTGGTAACGTAATTTCGGTTTTCCAACGTGCCGCTTCCTTGTACAAATTCTGTTTGTGTATCTGCGTCGAATTAATTCTGCTGATATGCCCCAGCCACCTCAGGTGTCTCAGCACAAGTGTGCACTCCACTGGAAACATGCCACTGCGATGCGGCACTTGGGTGTCTGCAACACTGTCGCACCAAGCATTGCGTAGAATCCGTCGCAGATACTGTTGGCGAAACCGCTCCAAATATCTGACATGCTTCCGCTACAGCGTCCACTTTCACTGCCGTACAGATGAACGGACAGCGCTATGGATTTGTATACCATCAGCTTCATTACAACGGTAAGCTGCTGATCGTTCCACACACGTTGTTCCATCATTCCAACTATGGCAGCCGCCTTCGATACGCGGAGGCACAGCTCGCTCATCAACTGGAGCTCGGTCGACAGTACGCTCCCAAGGTAACAAAATTTCGATGCTATTTCCAACACGCCATCAGGAATGTGGACTTGGGGCAGGCCCACAGACTCCATTTCTGGTGCAGGCTGAAAAGACAAACAGTCTTGCCTGTGTTGATGGTGAGCGCAAATTTGGCAGTTGTCGAATCAGAAGCCGAAGTCATGCGTTGCAACTCATCCGCGCTCTATGCAAACAATGCACAGCCGTCAGCTAATCGCAACCTACCGATGATTGTCTCACACACTGGGATTCTCGCCCCGAAAAGACGGATGTTGAGCAACCCACCATCAATACGGTGTTCCACACGGACACCGTAATCACAAGCATCATCTAACGTATATCATAGCATTTTGGTGAATATTAAACATGACAGTAGTTGAGGCACAGCCTTTCTTCATACCAGAGACAACAGCAGTCATCCGAATCTTGCCCACTCAGTTGCACCGTCGTCCGCATATCACTGTGCAGACATTTTAGTTGAACCTACAGACGACTTGCTCAGACAACCAAATGTACGCAACACCGGCCACCGAGTACAGTGACTGGTGTCCTTCTCGCAACTGACGAGCCACGATCACCACATGGATGGTGCTACGGCCCAAACGAAATCTGCATTGCTTTTCCACCACGTGCGGTTCAGCGACCTGAATAAATGGACGGTTGAGCAGAATTCGGTCGATCACTTTACCCACACAACTCAGCAAGTTGATGCCACGATAATTCGTCTAACACTGCTGCGTTTGCCTTGTACAGTCGTAGCATAAGGGCATCATTCAAGTCAGCAAGCATCTCTTCTCCAAACTACTAGTGCCCTACCTAATAGTGCACCGCATCGCGGGTCCGTCTTGTTTTAGCACTGGCGGTATGCCGTCGGTTCCGGCGCACTTACAGTTTCGCAGCTGAACTGGTGGTCTCTGCATCTCAAGCACTGTCGTTGTGTTGTCAAGACACATCTTCATCTCTTTCTGTTGCAGCCCGTGTAACGGAGCCCATTCTATCTCTGAACGGTTGTTCAAGAAACAACCAAAGTGCGTTTGCCAGATCTGCATTATTTCTGCAGTCGGTGTGCACGCAACGCCTGAGATAGCATTTAACAGCATCCTCAGCGGCTGCAATGTGGGCCATATACCCCTTCAAGGAGACAATGAAATTCTTTTGTTGGTGGTGTTCGGTGTAGCATTCCTTCTGCTTCGTCTTCTCCGTCAACCATGCATTCTTGATGCGACGGAGCTTTCGAGTCAGTCGCCTTCGAAGTTTGCGAAAATTATTCTCCTTCTCACACTCATCAGCGTCATCCTCGTGCGCAACGAACGCTGCATACTTCTTCGACACCAATATGCCAATGGTCGCACTGTTGCCATCAAACCAATCGGGTCGCTTAAGTTTGCACGCCGGATAGTTCGCTCGACAGCAGCCGTCATCTTTTCACAGATATTATGCCACTGAGGCGATTGGTTCGATATTGCCAA